CATCATTCAACACTTTCACCTCACTCGTACATAATCACTGTTTTCGCAGAGGCACCCAGACACAACAGCTTAAAAGCATATATAAAGATACAATACAAAAAAGTGACCTGAGATATAATAAAGTCTAATAAAACATGAAACATAAAGAATATAATATCAAGGCCCAAATTATATATATATATATACCATCCTATTTGTTAAAAAAAAAAAAAAAAAAAATCCTATTATTACACATCCCTCCAAACTGCCAATATCCCAAACCCCTCCTTGAAAGCACAGGCATTGTACTTCCCATTTCCAGAACTCAAGTCTGGTTATATAAAAATTGGTTTCCCTGAATCCCTTCACTAAATATTACCCTGCTCACACTCCAGCACCTCGTCAGGTCCCAAAAACCATTCGTCTCCATTCACTCCTATCTAACACACTCGGGCACGTTTGCTTGAAATCCTTCACCCACAAAACCTCCTTTACCCCCTCCCTCCAACCTTTTCGAGGACGACCCCTACCCCGCCTTCCTTTCCCTACAGATTTATACGCTGTCCATGTCATTCTACTTTGATCCATTCTCTCTAAATGACCAAACCACCTCAACCCCTCTTCAGCCCTCTGACTAATACTTTTATTAACTCCACACCTAATTTTCACACTTCGAATTCTCTGCATAATAATTACACCACACATTGCCCTGAGACAGGACATCTCTGCCTTCAACCGCCTCCTCGCTGCAGGATTTACAACCCAAGCTTCACACCCATATAAGAGTGTTGGTACCACTATATTTTCATGCATTCCCTTCTTTGCCTCCATTGATAACGTGTTTTTTTTTTTTTTTTTTTTTTTTTTTTTTTTTTTTTTTTTTTTTTTTTGTCTCCACATATACCTCAATTATAGGTAGTAGGTTGGTAGACAGCAACCACCCAGGGAGGTACTACCGTACTACCGTCCTGCCAAGTGAGTGTAAAACAAAAGCCTGTAATTGTTTTACATGATGGTAGGATTGCTGGTGTCTTTTGTCTGTCTCATAAATATGCGAGATTTCAGGTACGTCTTGCTACTTCTACTTACACTTAGGTCACACTACACATACATGTACAAACATATATATACACACCCCTATTTTCTTTATAGTTCTTGTTCTTGTTTATTTCCTCTTGCCTCCATTGGGAAGTGGAACAGAATTCTTCCTCCGTTAGCCATGCGTGTTGTAAGAGGCGACTGAAATGCCGGGAGCAAGGGGTTAGTAACCCCTTCTCCTGTATAAATTACTAAATTTAAAAAGAGAAACTTTCGTTTTTCTTTTTGGACCACCCTGCCTCGGTGAGATATGGCTGGTTTGTTGAAAAAAAAAATATATACCTCAGTGCACCACTCACCTTTTTTCCCTCGTTAATTCTATGGTTAATCTCATCCTTCATCAGCCCATCTGCTGACACATCAACTCCCAAATATCTGAAAACATTCACTTCTTCCATACTCCTCTCCAATGTGATACCCAATTGTTCTTTATCTAAATAATTTGATACTCTCATCACCTTACTCTTATCTGTGTTCACTTTCAACTTTCTACCTTTACACACCCTCCCAAACTCGTCCACTAACCTTTGCAACTTTTCTTCAGAATCGCCCATAAGCACAGTATCATCAGCAAAAAGTAACTATCAACTCCCATTTTGTATTTGATTCCCCAAAATTAATCCAACCCCTCTCCCCAACACCCTAACATTTACTTCTTTTACAACCCCATCTATAAATATATTAAACAACCTTGGTGACATTACACATCCCTGTCTAAGACCTACTTTTACTGGGAAGTAATCTCCCTCTTTTCTACACATCCTAACCTGAGCCTCACTATCCTCATAAAAACTCTTTACAGCATTTCGTAACTTACTACCTATTCCATATACTTACAACATCTGCCACATTGCTCCCCTATCCACTCTATCATATGCCTTTTCTAAATCCATAAATGCAATGAAAACTTCCCTACCTTTATCTAAATACTGTTCACATATATGCTTCAATGTAAACACTTGATCTACACATTCCCTACCCACTCTAAAGCCTCCTTGCTCATCTGCAATCCTACTCTGTCTTACCTCTAATTCTTTCAATAATAACCCTACCGTACACTTTTCCTGGTATACTCAGCAAACTTATTCCCCTATAATTTTTGCAATCTCTTTTGTCCCCCTTCCCTTTATATAAAGGAACTATACATGCTCTCTGCCAATCCCTAGGTACCTTCCCCTCTTCCATGCATTTATTAAACAAAAATACCAACCACTCCAACAGTATATCCCCATCTACCTTTAACATTTCTGTCATGATCTCATCAGTTCCAACTGCTTTACTCCCTTTCATTCTACGTAATGCCTCGTTCACCTCCCCCACACTCACATCCTGCTCTTCACTCTTAAAAGATGTTATACCTCCCTGGTCAGTTCATGAAATTACCGCCTCCCTTTCTTCATCGACATTTAAAAGTTCCTCAAAATATTTCCCACCATCTACTCAATTCCTCCAGCTCCCCATCTACCCAATTCCTCCAGCTCCCCATCTACTAACTCCCCTACTCTGTTTTTAACTGAAAAATCCATTCGTTACCTAGGCTTTCTTAACTTGTTTATCTCACTCCAAAATTTTTTCTTATTTTCATCAAAAGTTCTTGGCAGTGCCTCTCTCACTCTATCTGCTCTCCTTTTGCACTCTCTCACCACACACTTCACCTTTCTTTTACTCTCCATATACTCTGCTTTCTTAAAAACACTTCTGCTTTGTAAAACCCCCTCATAAGCTCCCTTTTCGTCTTTTATCACCCCCTTTTTAACTTCATCATTCCACTAATCACTCCTTTTTCCTCTTGCACCCACCCTCCTATAGCCACAAACTTCTGCCCCACATTCTAATACTGCATTTTTAAAACTATTCCAACCCTCTTCAACATCCCCCCCCCTTCACTACTCATACTTGCACTAGCCCACCTTTCTGCCAGTTGTTGCCTATATCTCACCCGAACTCCCTCCTCCCTTAGTTTATACACTTTCACCTCTCTCTTACTTGCTGCCATTTTCCTTTTGTCCCATCTACTCCTTACTAACTGTAACTACAACTAAATATTGATCCGATATATCAGTTGCCCCTCTATAAACATGTACATCCTGAAGCCTACCCATCAACCTTTTATCCAGCAATACATAATCTAACAAACTACTTTCATTACGGGCTATATCATACCTTGTATACTTATCCTCTTTTTCATAAAATATGTATTCGTTATTACCAAACCTATTTCTGCACAGCTCAATTAAAGGCTCCCCATTTTCATTTACCCCTGGCATCCCAAATTTACCTACTACTCCCTCCACAACATTTTTACCTACTTTAGCAGTGAAATCCCCCAACCACAAGTACTTTCACACTTGGCTCAAAACTCCCCTTGCGCTCACTCAAAATTTCTGAAAATCTCTCTCTCTTTCTCTCTACACTTCTCTCTTCTCTGGGTGCATAAATGTTTGCTATAACCCACTTTTCACATCCAACCCTTATTTTACACCACATAATCCTTGAATTAATACATTTATAATCCCTCTTTTCCTGCCATAACTTATCCTTCAACATTATTGCTACTCCTTTAGCTATAACTCTAGTTGAAACCCCTGACCTAATCCTATTTATTTCTCCCCACTGAAACTCTCCCACCCCATTCAGCTTTATTTCACTTAAAGCCAGGACATCCAGCTTCTCATTCATAACATCCACAATCATCTCTTATTCTCGCAACATCCACGCACATTCAAACATCCCACTTTGACAGCTTTCTTCTTTTTCTTTTTAGTAGGCTGTATGGGAAAAGGGGTTACTAGCCCATTGTTTCCGGCATTTTAGTTGACTTTTACAACACGCATGGCTTATGGAGGAAAGATTCTTATTCCACTTCCCTATGGATGATATAAAAGGAAAAGCAATAAGAACAAGAACTATTAAGGTAAAATCAAAGAAAACCCAGATGAGTGTGTATACATGAATGTGTACGTGTATGAGTAGTGTGACCTAACAGTAAGTATAAGTAGCAAGATGTACCTGAAATCTTGCATGTTTGAGACAGAAAAAAAGACACCAGCAATTCTACCGTCATGTAAAACAATTTCAGGCTTTCATTTACACTTGCTTGGCAGGACGGTAGTACCTCCCTGGGTGGCTGCTGTCTACCAACCTACTACTAACAAGCCATTAAAATTACTTTCCACTTATTATGGCCTAACATACTCATATACACCTGCTGGATGCTCAGGCCTCCTACCCCTTAAATCACCTTTCACATCTTCAACCTTTCTGGGATGACCAGCACCCCTCCTTCCTGCCACCTTAATTTTGTGCACCATCTAGGTCATCTTGTTCTCCTCCATCCTCCAAATCTCCTAACCACTTTAATAACTCCCTTCTCTGATCTCTGAATTATATCTTACATAGCTCCACGCAATCTTCTAATTATTACACTCTTAAGTCATTGTTTTACAATCATATTACACAGTGTTCTCTACTGCCTCTAATATCCTGCTCACAGCAGTGTTTAAAGCCCCATACATTGCTCTTACATTAGTGTTGATATTGCTATACTCTGGTACATTTATATTTTTGCCTCCATAGATAAGCTTCCTTGCCAGAGATAACTCATTTATTCTGAGTCACAGTTTTCATCATGCATACACCATCTGTAAGCATATCTACCACTTCCACTTTCTTCAACATTGTCATAGATTATTACTTATTCTTCTTGGCACTACTAGCATCATTAGTATTCTTTCTTGGGTTCCATGAGTAATATCCAGAGGATATTACTCATGGAACCCAAATAATTTGTGATGATGCATCACAAATATATTTGGTAAACTATTAAGATTGATTCTCACCTATTTGTGGAAGTCATTTTTACACAATTCATGCATTTAATATCTTTTATTTTTGTAATTTACATTCGCATGTTCTTTTTTCAGATGAATTTATTGTTAATACGCCCACTACTTTGGCTCAAAAGTATTGGATCACCAATGGAGCTGTTCATGCTAAACATATAATTGTATTTGCACAGTTGATTATTGATGGTGTTAACAATGGTATCCATGGCATCCTAGTTCGCATTCGTGATGACAATTTGAAGGTGTGTATTTCTGTGTGTACTGGTTTAAATGTTATTACATAATAACTTGTAGCTGTGGCAAGGGATCACTTTAAAACACATGACTTCACTTATAAGAAATAAAAAATATCTACAAGCTTTTGCATTTGCACTTGCATGCCCACTGAAGATGTGTGTAAACATGAATGTGCCTGGGTATTTCTATTCTGTTTTTCATTCTGGTGTTTTTCTTATTCAGTATTAGCTGTATCATATGTAAGGGAACATGACATTTAATTTCCACAGATTATGCCAAATGTCCGAGTTGAGGACATGGGACACAAAATGGGCTTGAATGGCGTAGATAATGCTAAACTGGCATTTGACAACGTGCGAGTACCTCGGGAAAACCTGCTCAATAAATTTAGTGATGTTTCTTCACAAGGAGAGTTCACTTCTGCAGTTAAAAGGTATTACATCCATAACCTTGTAACAAATTTGAAGGAATCAAAGTAGTCTGTTTTTATAGAGTAAGGGTTTCTACTTGCAGTAAATACAGTAAGCCCTCTTTTACTGTGACTTCACATTGTGCAGGTAATAAGACACAAAGCCCTATCATACTATAAAATTGTGTGAGAGAAGAAAGGAGAGCTTCACAAGAGTAAAGGAGAGCTTGACAGAGTTTTCTGGACAGCTCTGTACAATACTGCAGGGTATGACATGCCAGAGATAAACATTACAGAATACTTTAGCAGTTCAGCACAACTATCAGCTACCATAATGATAACTCTGCATCCACAATAACACAAGAACCTCTACCCAGTAGGTCCACATCAACCCTCTTCACAATTATTCACTTCAAGAAGAAAGCATTATGTGAAGGTAAGGTAAGTTTTACCTAGTACAATAGTAAAAAGTTTCTTTGGCAGATTTGAAGATGTCTGGAACATAATCTCTAATTATCCATATGTTCTTCATTTTACATATGTAGGTTTTCAGGAATATAACCTGCACATTATAAGAGAATTTACTGTACTAGCTGTAGTAAATAGGTCAAATCAGATATTCTAAATTTTTACTTTTTATTCACCAATGAGGCTTAATTGGGGATCCATGCATTAATGTTTGGATTAATATATAGATCTTCATGAAGTGTTCTTCACATTCAACATTAAACTTGTTTCCATAGATGTTGGCCTTCAAGGCACCTCTTACATTTTTCCAATGTCTTTACTTCTTGCTAACTTTGGCAATGCCATTACTTTAGTTTACTTTAAAGTATGTTAATTTTGGATACAACTTCTAGGTTCTCTCCAATAATACAGTGTAAGAAAATATAGTATAAAATAAATAATATGTCCACATGTCTTGCTTTTTCAAGTTCCTGTAAAGTAAGTGTTTTTATGATTTGACATGCTATTGGAGTGAGTAATGTTACATTAATGAAATTATTCGGGGCACTATTTAACTGGACTGAATTCTGGAGGTGAGAAGTAAAATGTCTGCATTCTGAAGGATGGATAGGAATGTTGCAGTTTGGAGGTTTATTTAAAATGAACCTCCAATGAGAAGCTCTAGAAAGACAGTGAGAAAATGGGTAGTCTATTAGGTGTCTGACCTTCTGGGTCATCCTGCCTTGGTGGAAAACAGCTAATGTATTAAAAAAAATTCAGTTAGCCAATTTACTGTGCTCTGAAAATACCTAATATTGTTATTTATTGATGGCAGTGCCCGTGCCCGATTCCTCACAGTGGCAGATCAACTTCTCTCAGGACGTATTTGCATTGCCAGTATGTCCATGGGTGGAGCCAAGGCCTCGCTTTCCATTGCCTTGCGTTATGCAGCATCTCGCTTAACTGTAGGTAAGTAGGATAAATTGTATATATATTCATAGTAGTAGGTTGGTAGACAGCAACCACCCAGGGAGGTACTACCATCCTGCCAAGTGAGTGTAAAACAAAAGCCTGTAATTGTTTTACATGATGGTATGATTACTGGTGTCTTCTTTCGTCTGTCTCATAAATATGCAAGATTAAGGTATGTCCTTGCTGACTCTTACACTTATTCACACTACACATACATGTACAACGTTTATATATACACACTCATCTGAGTTTTTCTTTGATTTTTATCTTAAATAGTTCTTGTCTTATTTTACTTTTTCCTTTTATATCCAATGGGAAGTGAATAAGAATCTTCCTCCATAAGCCATGCGTGTATGTAAAAGTCAACTAAAATTGCCGGGAACAATGGCCTAGTAACCCTAACCCCTTTTCCTGTAAAGATTACTAAAAAAGAATAAGAAGAAGAACATTGTCAAAGTGGGGAAGTCTGATATGTGCGTGATGTTGTGCAAATGATAAGCAAGAGATGATTGTGGATTTATGAATGTGAAGAAGCTGTATGTCCCTGGCTTTATGAAACAAAGCTGAAAGGGGGAGAGAGTTTCAGTGGATGAGGGAATAAATTGGGATTAGGTAAGGGTTTCAAATAGTGTTAGAGCTAAAGAAGGAGTAGCAATAATGTTGAAGGAATAAGATTGGCAGGAAAAAGGGACCATAAATGTCATTAATTCAAGATTATGTAGGGTAAAATAAAGGTTGGATGTGAAAAGTGGGTTTTATAATAAGTGTATATGCACCATGAGAAGAGAGAAGTGTAGAGGAGAGAGAGAGATTTTGGAAATGTTGAGTGAAGGTGTGGGGAGTATTTTGAACCAAGTTGAGAGTACTTGTGGTTTAGGGATTTTCAATGCTAAATGTTAAAAATGTTTTGAGGGAGTAGTAGGTAAATTTGGGGTGCCAGAGTAAAAATGTAAATGGGGACCTTTTATTGAGCTATGTTGTAGAAAGAGATTTGGAGTAATAAGTAATACATATTTTATGAAAAAGAGGGATAAATATACAAGGTATGATGTAGCATGTAATGAACGTAGTTTGTTTAGGATTATGGGGTATTGGTGGATAAAATTAATGTGGTAGGCTCCAGGAGTGTACATGTTTATAGAGGGGCCAACTGATAATCGGATCATTATTAATTGTAGCTACAGTTAGAGTAAGAGGTAGATGGAGGACAAAGAGGAATGTGGCAACAACAAGTAGGAGGGAAGTGAAAGTGTATAAACTAAGGGAGGGAGTGAAGTTCAGGAGAGATATAAGCGACTATTGGCAGAAAGGGTGGGCTACAGCAAAGATGAGTAGTGGGGGGTTGAAAGAGGGTTTGAATAGTTTTCAAAATGCAGTATTAGAATGTGGGGCGAAAGTTTTGTGGTTATATGGTGGGTGGGGCAGGAGGAAAAAGGATGAATGGTGGAATGATGAAGTAAAGGGTGTGATAACAGAGAAAAAAGTTAGCTTATGAGAGATTTTTACAAAGCAGAAGTGTTTATAAGAAGAGCAGAGTATATGGAGAGTAAAAGAAAGGTGAAGAGAGTGGTGAGAGAGTGCAAAAGGAGAACAGATGATAAAGTGGGAGAGGCACTGTCAAGAAATTTTAATGAAAATAAGAAAATTTTTTGGAGTGAGTTAAACAAGTTAAGAAAGCCTAGGGAAAGTATGGATTTGTCAGTTAAAAACAGAGTAGAGGAGTTAGTAGATTGGGAGATGGAGGTATTAGGTAGATGGCATGAATATTTTGAGGAACTTTTAAATGTTGAGGAAGAAAGGGAGGCGGTATTTTCATGCACTGGACAGAGAGGTATACCATCTTTTAGGAGTGAAGAAGAGCAGAATGTAAGTGTGGGGGAGGTACGTGAGGCATTACGTAGAATGAAAGGGGGTAAAGCAGCTGGAACTGATGGGATCATGACAGAAATGTTAAAGCAGGGGGGGATTTTAGTGTTGGAGTGGTTGGTACTCTTGTTTAATAAATGTATGAAAGAGGGGAAGGTACCTAGGGATTGGCAGAAAGCATGTATAGTCCCTTTATATAAAGGGAAGGGGGACAAAAGAGATTGTAAAAATTATAGAGGAATAAGTTTACTGAGTATACCAGGAAAAGTGTACGGTAGGGTTATTATTGAAAGAATTAGAGGTAAGACAGAATGTAGGATTGCGGCTGAGCAAGGAGGTTTCAGAGTGGGTAGGGGATGTGTAGATCAAGTGTTTACATTGAAGCATGTATGTGAACAGTATTTAGATAAAGGTAGAGAAGTTTTTATTGCATTTATGGATTTAGAAAAGGCATACGATAGTGGATAGGGGAGCAATGTGGCAGATGTTGCCAGTATATGGAATAGGTGGTAAGTTACTAAATGTTGTAAAGAGTTTTTATGAGGATAGTGAGGCTCAGGTTTGGGTGTGTAAAAGAGAGGGAGACTACTTCCCGGTAAAAGTAGGTCTTAGACAGGGATGTGTAATGTCACCATGGTTGTTTAATATATTTATAGATGGGGGTTGTAAAAGAAGTAAATGCTAGGGTGTTTGGGAGAGGGGTGGGATTAAATTATGGGGAATTGAATACAAAATGGGAATTGACAGTTACTTTTTGCTGATGACATCACAAGGATGTGTGATGTCACCGTGGTTGTTTAAAAGATAAAGAATCACACACAAAGTGGGAGTTGTCACAGTTGCTCTTTGCTGATGACACTGTGCTCTTGGGAGATTCTGAAGAGAAGTTGCAGAGATTGGTGGATGAATTTGGTAGGGTGTGCAAAAGAAGAAAATTAAAAGTGAATACAGGAAAGAGTAAGGTTATGAGGATAACAAAAAGATTAGGTGATGAAAGATTGGATATCAGATTGGAGGGAGAGAGTATGGAGGAGGTGAATGTACTCAGATGTTTGGGAGTGGACGTGTCAGCGGATGGGTCAAATGAAAGATGAAGTGAATCATAAAATTGATGAGGGGAAAAGGGTGATGGTACACTTTGTAGTCTGTGGAGACAAAGAACTTTGTCCTTGGAGGCAAAGAGGGGAATGTATGAGAGTACAGTTTTACCAACGCTCTTATATGGGTGTGAAGCATGGGTGATAAAATGTTGCAGCGGAGAAGGCTGGAGGCAGTGGAGATGTTCATGTCTGAGGGCAATGTGTGGTGTGAATATAATGCAGAGAATTCGTAGTTTGGAAGTTAGGAGGAGGTGCGGGATTACCAAAACTGTCAGAGGGCTGAGGAAGGGTTTTGAGGTGGTTCGGACATGTAGAGAGAATGGAGCGAAACCAGAGACTTCAAGAGTGTGTCAGTCTGTAGTGGAAGGAAGGCAGGGTAGGGGTCGGCCTAGGAAAGGTTGGAGGGAGGGGTAAAGGAGGTTTTGTGTGCGGGGGCTTGGACTTCCACAGGCATGCGTGAGCGTGTTTGATAGGAGTGAATGGAGACAAATGATTTTTAATACTTGACGGCTGTTGGAGCGTGAGCAAAGTAACTTTTATAAAGGGGTTCGGGGAAACTGGCAGGCCGGACTTGAGTCCTGGATTGGGGAAATACAGTGCCTGCACTCTGAAGGAGGGGTGTTAATGTTGCAGTTTAAAAACTGTAGTGTAAAGCACCCTTCTGGCAAGACAGTGATGGAGCGAAATGATGGTGAAAGTTTTTCTTTTTCGGGCCCACCCTGCCTTGGTGGGAATCGGCCAGTGTGATAATAAAAAAAAAATAATAATAAAAACTGTGCTTATGGGAGATTCTAAAGAAAAATTGCAAAGGTTAGTGGATGAGTTTGGGAGTGTGTGTAAAGTAGAAAGTTGAAAGTGAACATAGAAAAGAGTAGGTTTTTGAGGGGATCAAATGATTTAGATAAAGAAAAATTTGGATATCAAATTGGGGAGGAGGAGTATGGAAGAAGTGAATGTTTCAGATACTTGGGAATTGACGTGTTGGTGGATGGATTTATGAAGGATGAGGTTAATCATAGAATTGATGAGGGAAAAAAGGTGAGTGGTGCATTAAGGTATATGTGGAGTCAAAAAATGTTATCTATGGAGGCAAAGAAGAAATGTATGAAAGTATAGTAGTACCAACACTCTTATATAGGTGTGAAGCTTGGGTTGTGAATACAGCAGCAAGGATTCGGTTGGAGGCAGTGGAGATGTCCTGTCTAAGGGCAATGTGTGGTGTAAATATTATGCAGAAAATTCGGAGTGTGGAAATTAGTAGAAGGTGTGGAGTTAATAAAAGTATTAGTCAGAGGGCTGAAGAGGGGTTGTTGAGGTGGTTTGGTCATTTAGAGAGAATGGATCAAAGTAGAATGACATGGAGAGCATTTAAATCTGTAGGAGAAGGAAGGCGGGGTAGGGGTCATCTTCGAAAAGGTTGGAAGGAAGGGGTAAGGGAGGTTTTGTGGGCGAGGGGCTTGGACTTCCAGCAGGCGTGCATGAGCGTGTTCGATAGGAGTGAATGGAGACGAATGGTATTTGGGACCTGACGGTCTGTTGGAGTGTGAGCAGGGTAATATTTAGTGAAGGGATTCAGGGAAACCGATTATTTTTATATAGCCGGACTTGAGTCCTGAAATGGGAAGTACAATGCCTGCACTCTAAAGGAGGGGTTTGGGATATTAACAGTTTGGAGGGATATGTTATGTATCTATACGTATATGCTTCTAAACTGTTGTGTTCTGAGCACCTCTGCAAAAACAGTGATTATGTGTGAGTGAGGTGAAAGTGTTTAATGATGATGAAAGTATTTTCTTTTTGGGGATTTTCTTTCTTTTTGGGTCACCCTGCCTCGGTGGGAGACGGCCGACTTGTTGGGGAAAAAAAAATATTCATTAATATAGCTTTGTCACCTTGCATGAAATAATTAATTGTTAAAAAATCTACAAACTTGCAACCTTTTTTCACAACCTTTTTTCTGCCTTGCAGAAGTTTATCCAAATAATATACTGTATTGTACCTTTCATCATTGTTGCCATTGTTCTATGATTTCTGTTTTGCTCATGCACATATACAGTACTGAACTTGTGTTTAATACTCTATGCACTCATTCAAATATATTTACTTTATGCTGGTATCCTGAGTCAGATTTGTTTATTCATGTAGTATTTTTTTTTTTCTTGATAGGTCCTACTGGGAAATCAGACATGTCTATTCTTCAGTACCAGTTACAGCAGCGAGCGCTCTTGCCTCTTTTGGCTAGGACGTATGCTATTAATTTTGGACTAGATTATGTAAAGGTGGGTTAATATATCTATATATACCTAAAGCACTGCCTGTCTATTGTTATGAGCCTGCCTTGTTATACATGTGCAGCAGATTCTGCCTTTCAGCAACCTCTTATAGATACTGTTGTTTTATTTTTTCTATTAATAAATTGACTGTTTCCTGCTGAGGCAGGGTGACCGGAAAAAGAAGAAACACTTTCATCATCACTCCATCACTGCCTTGCCAGAGGCATACCTACACTATAGTTCAAAAACTGCAACATATCTCTACCCCTCCTTCAGAGCACAGGCACTGTACTTCCCACCTCCAGGACTAGTGTGGCTGACTGGACTAGAGTCCTGGAGGTGGGAAGTACACTCCAACAGCATATCAAGTCATAAAAACCATTTGTCTCTACTCGCTCCTCTCTAACACTCTCATGCACGCTTGCTGGAAGTCTAAGCCCCTCACACACAAAACCTCTCTTACCCCCTCCCTCTAGCTTTTTCTAGGATGACCCCTACCCTACCTTCCTTTCTCTACAGATTTATATATCCTTCAAGTCATTCTGTTTTGTTACATCTTCTAAATGTCTGAACAACCTCAACAATTCTTCCTCAGCCTTCTGAATAACACTTATAGAAACCTCACACCACCACCTAATCTCCAAGCTACAGATTCTTTGTACAATATTAACACCACACATAGCCCTCAGACACATCATCTCCACTGTCTCCAGCCTTCTTCTTGTTGCAACATTCCTCACCCATGCTTCGCTCCCATATAAGAGTTGGTACCACTATACTTTCATACATTACCCACTTATCTTCCATGGATAATGTTCTTTGTTTCCACAGACTCCTGAGTGCCCCATTTACTTTTTTACCTTGTTATTTCTGTAATAATTTGCCTCATCTTTCATAGACCCATCTGCTGACAAATCCACTTCCAGATATCTAAATACATTCACTTCCTCCATACTCCCTCCCTCCAATCTGATATCCCGTCTTTTTTCACTTCCTCCATACTCCCTCCCTCCAATCTGATATCCCGTCTTTTTTTTTTTTTTTTTTTTTTTTTTTTTTCTCTCTCTCTCTCTCTCTCTCTCCAACAAATCAGCCATATCCCAATGAAGCAGGTGACCTAATAGGAAAAATGAAAGTTTCTCTTTTTAAATTTAGTAATTTATACAGGAGAAAGGGTTAATAGCCCATTGCTCCTGGCATTTTAGTCGCCTCTTACGACACACACAGTGTATGGAGGAAGAATTCTGTTCCACTCTCCCGTGGAGATCCAGTCTTTCATTACCTAAATTTTTTGTTATCCTCGTCTCTAATCTCATACCAGTATTCAAAGGTACTACCCTAGGATATCTCCCATTTAGTGGTACTTGTATCTGATTCATCTTCCTCACTATCTTGCTTGTTTTTGATCTGTTATGTCACTACAAATAAATTGTGCAATTTAATATTAGGATAAAATTTATAATGAATGGTGATAAATAGGTTATGGGATATCGAAGAGACAATGTAGTGATGTTTCTTATTCAGAATAATGTTAGCAAGAGTGTAGGAAGTTGTGAACATTGGTATTTTTAAATTTAATTACTTTATGCTCAGTGGGGAAAATCTACAGTTTTTGCTACATGTCTCAAAGTGGTGCTTCAGTAATCATGAACTTCCAAACACTAACTTGACATATAACTCTTTAAGTGGGGGGTAATGCAATTTTAATTACACTCCCCAGTGTGGATAAATTTTGATAAAAATGCAAATTTCACTTAGTAAGAGTGCATCTTTTATAAATACAACTATGAAAAGAAAAAGAAAAAAGACAACTAGCAGTTTTCTGGTTGTTGAAATTAGCAAGAAATAATCATAGCATTGTAAAGGTGTATAGTGGTATGGTACTTAGGTTTTACAGTTTGTTGATATGTACACTAGTTTCTTATGATATTAGATGTGTTTCAGGGTGTTTTAGTACTCAAAATGTGGGGATATATTTGTTTGTATGAACATTTGACATTAGTATTAGTGTTGTAAAATGGAGAGATACCTCTACAACAGAGTTTTTCCACTGTTAAGTTCATAATTTCAATGTGTACTGTGTACATTAGCCCACCTTTCTGCCAATAGTTGCTTATATCTCACCCCTTAAATGATAGCCATAATGCACTGATTGAATCAGATACCTTGACATTTGTAAAAAAATCAAAATACTAGGGAAGCTGCTATTAATAGTCTTGGCTTAACGTAAAGTGAAAGAAACGCCTTTGTTTGTGAGTACTGTATGTTCTCTACGATATCCATAGGCCTCTGTCCCATTATACACAAAGGATAAGTTCCTGAAAATATGTGGAGAGAAAAGCAGTATGTTGCCAATACTTTCCCAATATTCCTTTCTTTCATTCTCTCTATGGAAAAAAGTACATTGTAAATTGAATTTGTGCAGACAGCACAAATCTGAAAAAATGTGATTTTTTTTTTCATTGGTTACACCTAATATACATGTCCACAAGTATAAAATTTTGACTTTAGCCTTTCAGAATCTGTAGAACATATTTGTGTTTTCAATAGCAACGATGGGGCTTCCAAGCTGCAGATGGCTCAGAACATGCTGAAATTGTGACATTGTGCTGTGTCATTAAACCCCTTGCATCATGGAACCTGGAAGAAATTGTTTCAGTGTGTCGTGAACGCTGTGGCGGTCAGGGCTACCTCTCCTGTAATAGGTTAGTGATGTGTGTCTACGATAAATGACATGCTCTAATTCTGTAGTACAGTGGTACCTCGGTATATGTCTGCTTTGGAATAAGTCCATATTGGTATACATCCTGTGTGGACCCGAAAACTTTTGCTTGGTATACGACCTTTGTTTGGAATACGACTCGTGTGCTAGAACTTGCATGGGTCAAAATATGTCACAACTCCGTGCACTACCCTTGTTTACCTCTCTTGAGACAAAGCCACGACTGCCCACTAGCATCAGTACACCTGTTGCTACCATTCAGTGAACAACCTGCTCTGTAACTCTGAATTTTCACTTTTTTTTTTTTTTTTTTTTTTTTTTTTTTTTTTTTTTTTTTTTTAGTAAATTCATTAACCATGAGTTCTAAGAAAGTTAATGAGAAAAGCCAAGCAATGAAGAAAGATAGAAAAATGATTAGGGTCACCATGGAGGTGAAAAAAGAGATTGTTGAAAAGTATGAAGGTGACATGCATATCCAGGACTTGGCTGTTGCATACTGTGGCTGAAAGGGACTTTGAGGGCTTTGAGGCTGTCTATAGTGGAGGATATTGTCTCTCTGGGCAGGTCCATGGGTCTGGATGTGAGTGATGGTGATGTGGAGGAGTTAGTGGAGGGGCACAGGAAAGAGCTGACCACTGAGGAGCTGCAGGAACGTGAGGAGGAGGAGCACAAGGCTAAGATGGATGCACTCTCTTGAAGCTCAGAAGAGGAGATAGAGGAAGCCCCTACTTCATTAATCAAGGAAATCTTTGCCAACTGGATGAACATCAAAAACTTTGGTGGGGTGGTACTTCTCTGCAAAGCCTAAACAAGCCGTAATAGCATTGTCTGGAATGACCCGACAATGTCACATTTCTGAAACATCCTGAGGAGAAGGCAGAAGGAAAGTTCTTTGGTCAGATTTTTAGTAAAAGTCAAACCTGGTGAGCTTCAACCAGGTCCAAATAGGGAAAAGAGACAGTAAAGAGAAGGGGACTCTCCTTCCAAAGAATAACATTTCCTCCTCCTCCCTTCTCAGCACTATCCTAGTAGGCACTCGACTCTTTTCAGCAAAGTAAAGTGTGGGTTAAAATTTTTTTTTATTTCATCTAATTCTTTTGTATTTAGATGAAAAAAATCCCAAATTTTAAAACCTTTTACTTTACACTGCTAAAAAAAGAGTCGAGAAACCTACTAGGATGTGGTAAGCAGTGTTTAAATTATTTTATAAAACCCCATCAAGTTTTAAATCCCCAAAAGGTAACAATTGTTTTTTTCCCAAGGGAAAACCGGGTTTAACCCTTTTTTCCCTATATTTTTTAGGGGAAAAAAATTGGGTTTGGTATTTTATCCTTTTTGGTAAAAACCCAAGGGTCGGGGAATGGATTAAGGGACTTTATATGAGGGTCCCAATTGTTTTGAAATTGTATGTTAGTCATTAAAAAAAATTAAAAAAAAAAGGTACATTTAAAACTTTTTTTTGGGGTTTACAACTTGGCTTAACCAATTTGGGAAAATTTTTCTTTTGTGAAAAACAAAAAGGCACAATACCGTGCCCGGGGAAAAAATTTACACAAAAATTTCTCCCCTTTACTTTCTACTACCACTTTTTTCTTCTTACTCCCTTCCACTCCCTTTCCCCAACCTACCATACCACTACCATTTCTTCCTTTCTCCCTCTCTTTTTCCCCATCCAAATTTCCTGTTTCCTTTTAAAGTGGGGCCCCCACTCTAGGGGTTTTTACTTTAGGGTTTTTTTTCCCCCCACCTGACTTCTGATACGTTTCACTGTTCCCCCCCCCGGTTTTTTTTACTTTCCCCCCGTGAGCCCCATGGCACTGGGGTCCCTCCTTATTTTGGGAAAAATTTTCCAAAATTTCAAGGTTTTTAAAAGTTATTTTCAAAATAAAACAGGTCCCCCTCCCCATTCGCGGGGGTTAGGGGTTTCAAGACCCTGGGAAATTTTTTAAAAAAACCGTGAATTTTTGGGGGGCCCAAAAAATTTTTGTGGGGAAAATAAAATACAATACTGCTTTAGGAAAGGTAGGGGGTGTGTGGACCAGGTTTTTTACAGGAAAATAAAAGGGAAAACGTATTTAGATAAGGCTAAAGAGGTCTTTGTGGCATTTATGGTTTTGGGAAAAGGGGGGCCTTTATGACGGGGTTTGGATAGAGGGGAAATGTGGCGGGATTTTGCAGGTGTTATGGTGTAGGAGGTGGGTTACTGAAAGCATTTGAAGATTTTTACGAGGTAGTGGGCTCAATTTTAGAGTATTTTGGGAAAGAGGGAAAATTTTTTTTTTTTTTTTTTTTTTTTTTTTTTTTTTTTTTATAACAGGGGCCGGGATTCCCCCCAAGGCGGGGTTTGGCCCCGAAAAAAAAAAAACTTTCACCATCTTTAAAATCCATCACTGTTTTGCCAAAAGGGTGTTTTAAAAATACATTTTTTAAACTGAAAATTAAACCCACCCCCCCTTTTCAGGGGTGCAGGAAACTGTATTCCCATCTCCAGGGGACTCAAGCCCGGGCCCTTTCCCCGGTTTTCCCCTGAACCCCTTTTCTAAATGTTACTTTCTCACACTCCAACAGCACGTAAAGTTTTTTTAAAAAAAAAAACCCAATTTGTTTTCCATTCACCCCTATAAAACACGCTCGGGCATCCCTGCTGGAAGCCCAAACCCCTGCACACAAAACCCCCTTTTAAACCCCCCCCCAAAAACCCCTTCCTTGGCCGCCCCTACCCCCCCTTCCCTTTCCAAACAAACAGTTTTGATACACTCTTGAAGTCATTTTTTTTTTCGCTCCTTTTCTCTACATTTTCCCGAAAAACCCTCAACAACCCTTCCTCAGCCCTCGGGACAACAGTTTTGGTAACCCGCACCTCTTCCCAACTTTTCCCAAAATACGAATTTTTCTGCTTTTTTCACCCAACATTTTCCCTCAGACATGGACATTTTCCACTGGCCTTTCCCGCCTTTTCCTCGCTGCAAAAAATTTTTATAAAACCCCCGCTTCAACCCCCCCATATTAAAAGGGGTTGGTTAAAACTATACTCTCATACTTTCCCTCTTTGCCCCCCAAGGACAAAGGTTCTTTGTCTCCCAGGGCTCCTAAGTTTCACCCCCTCACTCTTTTTCCCCCATCAAAATTTTATGATTCACCTCATCTTTCCTTTTGACCCCTCCGCTGACAGTCCACTCCCAAATATCTGAATACGTTCCCCTCCCCCATTTCTCTCTCCCCTCCAATCTGTATTCAATCTTTCATCACCTAATCTTTTTGTTATCCTTATTTAAACCCTTTCCCTTTTTCCCGTAAATTTACCTTTAATTTTTTCTTTTGCACACCCTACCAAATTCATCCAACCAAAACTCTTTTCAAAATTTCTTTAGAAACTTCCCCAAAAGCAAGTTTTCACAGAAAAAAGCAAACTTGACAACTCCCTTTTGTGTTTTGATTCTTTTCTTTTAAATCCACGCCTTTTTGCCAAAAAACCCCCGCATTTACCCTTTTCTTACAAACCCCCCCTATTTAAAAAAAATTAAACAAACCCCCGGTGACATCACAAACCTTGTTAAAAGGGGGACTTTTACTGGGGAAAAAAAATTTTCCCCCTTTCCTACATATCTAACTTTTAGCCTCAAATTCCTCGTTTAAAAAATCTTCACTGCTTTCAGTTTAAAACCCACCCCCTAAACCCTACACTTGCAAATTGCCAAAATTTTCCCCCCTATCCACCCTGTCCCTACGCCTTTTCCAAATCCCCCTAAATGCCACAAAAAACCTCTTTAAAACCCTTTTCTTTAAAATTTTTGTTAAATTATATGTTTTCCCTTTTTAAAAACCCGGTCCACACCCCCCCCTACCTTTCCTAAAGCCTCCTTGGGTTTATCTTTCTTTTCCCATTTTCCCTCTTTTCTCTTTTTCTTTCAATTTTTAATCTACCATACAATTTACCCGGTTCAAATCAACAGATTATCCCCCTTTTAATTTTTTCACTCTCTTTTATCCCCTTTGCCTTTATACAAAGGAACTATGCATGCTCTCTGCCAATCCCCAGGTACCTTACCCTCTTCCATACATTTATTAAACAATTGCACCAACCACTCCAAAACTATATCCCCACCTGCCCTTTTTAAAATTTCTATCTTTAAACCCATCAATCCCGGCTGCCTTACCCCCTTTCATTTTACCTACTGCCTCACGAACTTCCCCCACTCACAACTGGCCTCTTCCTCCACTCCCCCAAGATGTTATTCCTCCTTCCTATACACGAAATCACAGCTTCCCTATCTTCATCAACATTTAACAAATTCCTCAAATATTCCTTCCATCTTCCCAATACCTCTAACTCTCCATTTAATAACTCTCCTCTCCTATTTTTAACTGACAAATCCCTTTGTTCTCTAGGCTTTCTTAACTTGTTAATCTCACTCCAAAACTTTTTCTTATTTTCAACAAAATTTGTTGATAACATCTCACCCACTCTCTCATTTGCTCTCTTTTTACATTGCTTCACCACTCTCTTAACCTCTCTCTTTTTCTCCATATACTTTCCATATTATACTTTCCATATTATTTCCCAGTAAAAGTAGGCCTTAGACAAGGATGTGTGATGTCACCATGGTTGTTTAATATTTTTATAGATGAGGTTGTAAAAAGAAGTAAATGCGAGGGTCTTGGCAAGAGGCGTGGAGTTAAAAGATAAAGAATCAAACATAAAGTGGGAGTTGCCACAGTTGCTCTGTGCTGATGACACTGTGCTCTTGGGAGATTCTGAAGAGAAGTTGCAGAGATTGGTGGATGAATTTGGTTTGGGTGTGCAAAAAAAAAAAATTAAAAGTGAATACAGGAAAGAGTAAGGTTATGAGGATAACAAAAAGATTAGGTGATGAAAGATTGGATATCAGATTGGGGGAGAGAAATATAGAGGAGTGAATGTATTCAGATATTTTTGGGGGTGGACGTTGCAGCGGATGGGTCTATGAAAGATGAGGTGAATCA